CACGACGAGATTCTGGAAGCGCTTCAGTCATCGAGTCGTGCACTGGATTTGGGTCGACCGAGTCCTTCATCAGATGCCGCCAAGAAGTTCTTGGATTCCATCCCAGAATATGGAGGTATTTATAGATTGAACTCCCGATCGATACTTCACTTCCATTACTAATTCAATGTCTGTTACCATAGAAGGCATTCATAGACTATAAATAGACTCTCAATTAATAGACGTTTGCTTTCCTTAACACAAATCAATTGAATTTCGCTTTAATTGCTTTAATTAAACAATTTTTATTTAATTGTGTACTCAATGTGTAAATCATTTATTTCTGACTTTCACTCCAGGTTTGGGTCATTTGAAAGGCGACTCTCAAGTGAGCGGTTCTGATGAAGACTCTGTGCCTCCTTGTGGTCCGATTCGGATCAGGAATTTAGAAGACCTGTTGAGACAATTAGAGAAANGTTCATTTGAAGTGAATTTATATAAATTTCAAGTAAATTTACTTAAGTTAGCAAACATTTAGACATTTGCCCTATTGTCTAGCAAATGAGTACAAAATGGTTTTCAAAAACATCTTTTTATTAATTAATTCGTTTTATATCTCAATAGTTGTTGTCAATTATGTGTACATATGTTAGTCTCGATTCATTAAATAATTTAATACTTTATATGAAATAAATGTACAGATCTTTTATATTTCTTTTTTATAATTGTTTTCTTTTCATAATTTTATTATAAAATGCAAAAACAATTTATTTAATAGATTTTAGTCCTAATAGTTGTGAAACGAATGGATGAGATGTTCAATGAATTTGATGTTCAATTAGTTGTGAACTATTGTATAATAACGTTGTTTTTTGATAATAAGTTAATTCATCGTTAAGTATCAGTCAATGAGTGAACAAGATCACTTGTATATTCTATATATTCACACTTTATATTCCGGATACTTTTTCTTGCTCTTCTTCTTAGCCTTCTTGTGGTCTTTGTGTTTGGATTGCGTGGGAGTGGTTGGAGTGGTTGGTGTGGTTGGAGTGGTGGGGGAAGGGGTGGTGTCCTTGTGGTGTTTGTTGTCTTTGGACTCTTTGGTCTCTTTGTGGACGAGGGTTACGGTAAACCTCGATATTGTCTTTGGACTCTTTCGATCCAATGGCGCGGAAGAGTACAGTAGTTGTTGGCCGTCTGCAGCTGTGGAGGCAGTGCTTGGCTTTGCATCTGTTGGTAGAGACGGCGCAGGTATTGGATCTGATGGGGCGGCAGTTGTTGCGGCAACTGTTGGGGAAGCAGTTCTTCCGGAAGGGATTGCCTGCTCTGCACAATGTGTCGGAAGCACTACAGATGTAGTAAACACTTGATTATTGTATGAATCAGATGTTAATTTCAATATTTCTTTAGTTTTGAGACTCAATTGTCCGCTAACTGTAAAATCACAGGAAGGGAAGAGGCTTACGGGAAGGGCCTCTTCACTGGCACTCCTCAGCATTGGTTGACAAACACCCGTACCATAAAAGGTTGCGTCACCGCTGAGTGACTCCAAAACACTCCCGTTTTCGTCGTCTTCCCGGTTGTGGTCGTGAACTGTTGAGGTTGTGGTCGATGTGGTGGTCGATGGCGATGGCGGCTGTAGCTCCAGGATCTTCTGTGTGTACGCACACAGACTGTTGGGTCCAATTGGGATGGAACTCCTGAACGGATAAGGACTAGCATTACAAGAGTTTATCACTTGAAAGCTCATTATCAATGACTGAACCTCGAAGTCGATGATTGTTGAGGAGGTGGTGGCGGCGGAGGAATTCCCATAGAGTGAAGATCTGATTGGCGGTGATGGCCCAACAAATACGCTAAATCCTGTTCCACTAAATGTGATTCCAGTGCACTTAGGGCCGAGGGATGGTATGTGTGGGCAGATGGCAAATGACCCCGACTTCCAGCACCACTGCTATACAAATGTCTGTCAGACTCCGGTTCACTAAGACGTATGTCCTCTGAACCCGATGGCGACAGACCTGTTGACTGAAGATTCTGTTTCTCTAATTGTCTCAACAGGTCTTCTAAATTCCTGATCCGAATCGGACCACAAGGAGGCACAGAGTCTTCATCAGAACCGCTCACTTGAGAGTCGCCTTTCAAATGACCCAAACCTGGAGTGAAATTCAGAAATAAATAAATGATTTACACATTGAGTACACAATTAAATAAAAATTGTTTAATTAAAGCAATTAAAGCGAAATTCAATTGATTTATGTTAAGGAAAGCAAACGTCTATTAATTGAGAGTCTATTTATAGTCTATGAATGCCTTCTATGGTAACAGACATTGAATTAGTAATGGAAGTGAAGTATCGATCGGGAGTTGAATCTATAAATACCTAGATTGAATCTATTGGATTGGATCTATAAATACCTCCATATTCTGGGATGGAATCCAAGAACTTCTTGGCGGCATCTGATGAAGGACTCGGTCGACCCAAATCCAGTGCACGACTCGATGACTGAAGCGCTTCCAGAATCTCGTCGTGATATCCATTGAGTCCTTTGAGGCGATCCATATCACTGAACCCATCGCTGTTGCGGTTGTTGTCTGAATGGCTTTCCTGGTTATCAGATTGACTCAAATCACTCCATCGCTCCTTCATGTGATTGGGGTCGGACTGGGCGGCAGAGCTCATACCGGCCATACCGGCCATACCGTACGCCTGCTTTAGTATACCCTTTTCAGGACCAGTCATGTGATGAGACATTTTCGACAAATTGTTTGGCGATAACTCGATGAACTGGGAGGTCTCGTTGATGAGCCTATTGTGAGTCTCCATATCGTTTTGGGAGTCATTCCTGAGGCCATCCTTATGTCTCTTCATTTCTTGCATCTTATCCTCTCTATACGACGGCATACTTCCAAACGTTATTATTCTGGACACGTTTTCATTGAACGGATCGTTTTCATTGGTAGCACCGGAAAGCTTTCTATTTAACTGTTTTTTTAATTGTTGTCTCTCTGACTTTCCTGGCATTAGACTTCGGCGCCTGTAGTCATACACACAAACCAAATGAATCATATAATTGAGACTAATATTTACATAATTTTAATTTCTAAATTACTGTATATTTGAATAATTTATGTTATAATCAAAGGACTAATACTACACTTAAGGACATCAACTTTTTTCAGTACAATATTCTAATCAATTCTCTTGAGATATATTCTGTCAACACTTCAACAAAAATATGTCTTTTTGTAAGTTATATTCAAAATGCATTCCTTAAAAACAATTCACAAATTCTTTATCTAATTTTTAAGTATATTTTGTGCAATATATTATAAAAATTTAAAAATATTTATATTTAAAAATAATATAAAACTTCTATGGAATCGTGTTTAGACTCAATTTGTTTCGTAAACTTTATTTTATTATAAAAGGAGAAGTTTTCATAAAAATGATTAACTTATCACAAAATTGAGTTTTATATAAATGCATAAAATTTGCAATGTTTTGTACACAGAATTTAGATAGAATTGCTGCAAACAAAATTGCCCAGGTTTCAATTGGAAATCGATTTGTTTAGTAATTTTCAATTTAAATTCAATTAAAACAATGGTATAAATGAAGTCTCGTTTTTTGAGTATTCAATTAATGTGAGGAGACGTCGTTAAAACCATTATCCAAATGGTTGGCTTTATTTGATTCCACTTTTATTGAGACATTTAATGATATGCTTTGATATTCATTGAGTCAAACGAATAGTTTTGCGTCAATTGTTCTCTTAATCCAAACTTTTTCTCCTTTTATTTCCTAATTTAAACAAAAAGCTAAACAAAACTCTAATAAAATCAGTCAATGTTTCCCAACAAAAGCGGTTAGAATTCAATTGTTTTCTCATTTCAACAAAAGTTGTTTCGCAAAAACGCTGTTTTAATGTTTGCATCAAAAAACTTCAATATATAACTTAATATGAAAACGTTAGGCAAATAGTCTTGTTATGAAATACAAATAGAAATTAGTGCTCAAAATGTATGTTCCGATTGCGATGTGTGGCCCAAAAACTGGTGATTCAAATGCATTGCAAACAAGTGAAGCATAAGAATTCGTATCAATTGATTCATTCATTTATCGTAAATGTGTTTCGACTGTCAATTGAATGCCATTTCATAGTGTAGTATACCATCAATATTATTGTATTATATAAACACTGGACTATAAAACAGAGGCACCAGGAGATCAGAGATTTTTCATTTCTCTTGCGATTGAATAAAAAATTGAAAAATCGCTTAAATGATGGAAATGGAGATGAAAAATATGTTTAATTCTGGAGCCAAACCATAAGACAAATAAATTGATGGAAAGATTGCTTTGAATAGGTTTTGTTGCCTTGATTTTCAATTTCTGGGGCTATATTTATATTTAGCGAGAAAGGCGTGAATTTATACAATTTTCTGCTATGAATTCAATGCATAAACAAATATAATGCCAAAGTTTTATACAATATATTTGATACAGAAATCTGAGTTTTCAATCTGTCACACGTTGTAATATATGTGTCAAATAAGTTCTTTGCGAGTGTCACTCAATTATAACATTATCTAAAAACCAAAATCTTATCATAAAAATAAATTATATTTTAATATAAGTACGAAATATAATGATTTTTCATTGCATTCATAAAATTAGATTTGAAAGCGTTATGAAGAATATATGGAAATTTCATATGAAGTTTGTACTCAAGTAGTTGAAGTGAATTAAATGTAATTATTTTATACGTCAAATCGGTTTTAGTTTTTGTTCATTTCCTATAAATTATTGCATATAAATAATTAGTGTTAAATATGAGGACATACCTGTAGCACATGGCTAACAGTGCAAAAAATATGAAAACTCCGCCGACAATCGACACTAAAATCATAACCAAATAAGCGGCACTTAAAGACTTTTTTTTGTTATCTGTTAATTGAGCAAACAAATGTGTCAAACATATGTATCGATTATGAGTGGAAAGGGATGTGATAGGGATAGGGATGTGATGACTACCATATTCTTTGATTAATGTGGTCTCTGCGATGAGTTGCGATATATTCTTGTCTGGTGTCGGTTGTGGTGCCTTAGTTGTAAGGGTTTGGGTGTCGACTATGGGCTCATTACCTGTAGCACATGGCTAACAGTGCAAAAAATATGAAAACTCCGCCGACAATCGACACTAAAATCATAACCAAATAAGCGGCACTTAAAGACTTTTTTTTGTTATCTGTTAATTGAGCAAACAAATATGTGTTAAACATATGTATTGATTATGAGTGGAAAGGGATGTGATAGGGATGTGATAGGGATGTGATAGGGATGTGATAGGGATGTGATAGGGATGTGATGACTACCATATTCTTTGATTAATGTGGTCTCTGCGATGAGTTGCGATATATTCTTGTCTGGTGTCGGTTGTGGTGCCTTAGTTGTAAGGGTTTGGGTGTCGACTATGGGCTCAGTGGTGGTGATGACGTAAGTGGTCTTCTCGCTGCAGTCACTACCCGTCCATCCATTATCACAGGCGCAAGAATTGACGTTAGAACAGACCTAACCATGGATTCAAACGATCGATTCATTAGGAACTGTATGAGCTCTCGTTAAATGTTAATTGAATCCAATGAAGACATTGGGTTTAAGTAAATATTGAAATCAAATAGAAATTGATGGCAAGTCTTTGTGACAATAAGAAAATCACATCAACTTACTCCATGTCCAGAGCACGTGAGCGCAACATTATTGGTCGTACAGTCACCCGGCTCTATGTATAAGTCTATACTAATACACGTTTGATTCACACATATCTGGAACAGAGAATCGCAAAAATTATTGATGAGTTAAGACAACAGTCGACGAGACGGACGAGAGAGCGAGAGAGAGAGAGAGAGAGAGAGAGAGAGAGAGAGAGAGATGTCTTAACTCATCAATAATTTTTGCGATTCTCTGTTCCAGATATGTGTGAATCAAACGTGTATTAGTATAGACTTATACATAGAGCCGGGTGACTGTAAGAGAGAGAGAGAGAGAGAGAGAATGGAAGGGAGCGATGGGTTTAAGAGAAGATATTTTAAAAGCACATTAAATGAACATAACATTCAGGGATCAAAAGAGCAGATGTGTTCATGTGTTCCGCTATTTTATATATATTTTCTTTTGGCAAACATTTGAAAGCTTTTTGTGAATTTGGAAATAAAAACTATTTTTATTTATCAATTTTGTAGAATCGAGACCTACTTTATTCTCTGAACACTTAGTGCCGTCTTGAATGAGTCCCATATCGGCGATGTCTGAGCGAATGGTCCCTTTGGCTACTTTGCACTCGTACTCCACACCACTGTTGTAGACCATAGTCCGTGAGTACTCCTTCTCCATACCCTTGGAAAAGGGCGACTGATTGCCGAACTGACACTGGAGTGAACCGCACATCAAGTTTCTAGAAATGGATATTATATTCAATTCAGTGATGGAGTAGTAGTGGAGCACAGGTTTGGGTTGATCACAGGTTTAGGTTTATCACAGGTTTTGCGCTCAGAATATATAAACACAGCATTAATAAGCACTGAGTGGTTGAGCACATAATTAATCAATTGAAGCAATTGAGCAAGCTTACTCTTGAGTGCACTTAAGTATATGTCCGTTGCCGTCACGGCCACAGTTGCCCAGAATAGTACCCTGGCCATTGTACTGCTGGAAACATATAAGCTCTGAGGCACGCGACCCCTTCCCCCATATGATTGCCGAACTGACACTGGAGTGAACCGCACATCAAGTTTCTAGAAATGGATATTATATTCAATTCAGTGATGGAGTAGTAGTGGAGCACAGGTTTGGGTTGATCACAGGTTTAGGTTTATCACAGCATTAATAAGCACTGAGTGGTTGAGCACATAATTAATCAATTGCTTCGCTTACTCTTGAGTGCACTTAAGTATATGTCCGTTGCCGTCACGGCCACAGTTGCCCAGAATAGTACCCTGGCCATTGTACTGCTGGAAACATATAAGCTCTGAGGCACGCGACCCCTTCCCCCATATGACGGAACACTGGTTATCGAGTGTCGGGCACTCGCCGTGAAAACAGAATCCCTTCCCATCTTTACAAATGTTTCCGTTTTTCTTGAATATATCCGACGGGCACTGAATATGTGTATATGAATCACACCAATCGATAAGTGTTGGCTCACATGACACTACACTATACTGTAGTATAAACTACTTGTGCACTTACTTGACCACTCTTGCCATCGCATACTTCAGGCAAATCGCACTCATCGTTGGAAATCCTACAGACGTGACCCAATGGCTTCAGCTATTAGTAATGCAATCATTCATTTCATTAACATTTATTTAATTAGAAATAACACAATATTTATTATAATTTATTATTAATGACTATATTAAGTATATGGTATTAATATATGATGGGTGATGTTTAAGTATATGGTATTAATATATGATGGGTGATGTATAATGGTGATTTATACCTTGCAGTTGACACAACAGGGACCGGTAGAGCACTCGGCCTCCTGTCTGAGTTTGCAGGTGATTGGGTCACAACAGGGATCCTTTTTCGCACTCATCGTTGGAAATCCTACAGACGTGACCCAATGGCTTCAGCTATTAGTAATGCAATCATTCATTTCATTAACATTTATTTAATTAGAAATAACACAATATTTATTATAATTTATTATTAATCACTATATTAAGTATATAGTATTAATATATGATGGGTGATGTATAATGGTGATTTATACCTTGCAGTTGACACAACAGGGACCGGTAGAGCACTCGGCCTCCTGTCTGAGTTTGCAGGTGATTGGGTCACAACAGGGATCCTTTTCCATGCACTCCTGAAAGCTGCCGCAATCGCATTCCTCCTCTTCCTCTATCACTCCATTACCACACGAACGGAAGTCCTCTAATTGGTTGGGTTTGTTGAAGAGACAGATGCCGTGTCCGATCTGTAGGGCATTATTATAGTCCTCTAAACTGCACTGAGAGAAGTGAAAGGGTTGGATCCGGTCTTCGCCTAATATATTCTTAGCCATAATACAACCCCACCAGTCGTTGCACTTGCAGTTGTCTGACAAACACATCCATTCAGTGAGTTATGAATTGCATAATAAGTGCATAATTATTGTGGTTATGAGACATACTGTTGTCATCCTTGGAGTCCTCGTCGTGACCCATCCCTATGTTATGGCCCAACATATGGGTGACAGTACTGGCAACTAAGTGGGGCTCATAGATGTTCGAGTCTTGGCTAACGCCTACAGCTTTGGCAGTGCAGATGCTATCAGGAACGGCCATACCGACCTCTCCACCGCGAAATGGCTTTCCCCTGATATATAAAAACAATTCATATTTGAATCGATTTTTAAAAAACTCTTTCTTTTTGTGTTTATCTGTTTTTAGAAAAACTTAATATGTTTTTACGGATTCACTGATTTTGTGCGGGTTATCAATGAATGCAAGATATGTTTCATTTGGATTTCGCAAAACTAAATCTGAATAACATTTGGGATATATTTTTTGCAAATAAATCGAAATTTATTTTTTATTATATGACTTTGTTTTCTCTCGTATTTTTGAGTTCACGATAATAGAAAAGATAGGAAAAGAATATCTGAAATGAAATGGAAGGCAATGGAAGCCAATGTTTATTGAATTGAGAAAATGATAAAATGCTTATTCTATTGCACTTGAAGTCTGCCATAAATGCAAACTTAAAAGTTATATATTATCTTCAAGAATACCATTTTATATATAGAATTGTTTCGATAGAAGTTTACAACTTTTAAATAATAGTGATTCACAAAACACAACACGAATTTTCTACACAAAAATCTTTTTCAAACACATCACTATTATATATAGTGTCGAAAAGTGGTTTAAAAATCTTGTTGTTTTCAATTGTTATCAAATATATTATTTCTATTAAAATAGTCTTCTACTTAATGATTAATTTTACTTTTATAATACAAAACATATGAAAAGTGTTGGCATTTCAACGAAATTACATTTCATTTCGAAGATTGCATATAATTTAAGTTAATGTAAAACATGAATACTTTTGTTTAGTATTCTCTTTCGGATATACTATTTGATGAGAGAGAGAGAGAGAGAGAGAGGGAGAGAGAGGGAGAGAGAGAGAGAGAGAAATATACAGTATATAAGTTGATTAATTGAAAGTATTGTATCCCATTACTAGCCGACGGCGTAATAATAACTCAATAGTAATGAAAATAAAGTGAAATGCAATGAAAATTTGGAAAAGGGATGAAAGAAACAGACGACTGATTTGAAGTTTGCATTTAATTTGAGTGAAGAATTGATTTTTTCCTCTTTCTTCTCGTCGACAAACAAGACGTCTGTCTTAGCCTTTAAAATATTCTTTCGTTAACTTTCTTTCAGAAAACATATCTAAAAATATTCAAATATTTCTAAACATTGTATATATTTTCCATTTTATCAATAAGTTCATCATTTTTCACACAAATTTTCCAAATCCTTAACAAAAGGAAATTTCATATTTTACTCAATCATTAAAATATTGTTTTATAAAGAGATAAAAGAAATTATTTTTAATTAATGACAATCAATAATAGCGTTTAAGATAACAAACAAAAAGGTTTTATAATATCATCTAAAGTTTTATTGATTGAAATAATTATAACAGAATAATAAATTTATAGGAAATTCATTACGAGATTATAACCCAAAGAAATATCTTGTCATTTGGGTTATCATAACATACTTTTATAGGAGCTCTAAGAATAAGAAATTGAATACTATTTTTGTTGTTATACTAATAAGATTTTTTTGTGCAGTTTTCTCATACACAGCACACTATAGCTGTATAAAGAAATGTTTGGCACAAGTGTTATAACTTATACACGGCTTCGGAGTCCATATCCTGTTATCCTTTGCAATAGAGTTTCAAAAGAATTGATCAAAATATGTAACAAAATGTCTTAATAAACACCGTTAGAGCAGGAATTTCTTAGACCAATGAATAGTAGCGATCAATAAATAAGAAAATGTCAGAAAAAATTGTGCACAAAATAAGCAAAATTTATTTCATAACTTAATCTTTTTCTTTATTAAAATATTATTCAAATTTGTCGTAAACTCCATTTATTTCGATATATATTCACTATTATTGCAATCATAAAATCATGTTATTTATTTTATAGAAATTATATATTCTCGCATGATTTAACATTCAAATACCACTAGTTTTTGTAAAAATTTGTTTAAATTTCAAAACTATGTTTATTTTTAGCATGCATAATATTCCGGCTCGCAATCAATTGTGAGATTTATTTATCAAAATATTATTTTATGAAATTTCACAGATTCTCAAGAGTTGTGATGAAATATATCATTAAAATTTTGTTTTACAAAAAAGGTATCAATTATTAGAGTATTTACTTAAAGTATTTGTTTGCCATAATATTTAAATCTCTGATTTAGTGAAAATTTTAAAATAAATTCTCCAGTATAATTTTTAAATCAATATTCACAGAGAAAGTTTAAAAAATAAACTAAATGCAAATCTCTTAAATGCTTGAAAAAGACTAAAATTTTGTAAAAATATATTATAATAACAGACTTATTTATATATTAAAAGCAAAAAATAAAGTGAACAGAATGATTGGTTCATTAAATGTGAAAAATGTTTTGAATTTATGAGGCATTCAGTAATTTATTTTGATTAGAGAGTGAATGAATCGTCAAAATTAATTTTCAGAAAACTATTCATTGGATTCTCAAAGAATAGACGAAAATTTTATTTATCCATTCATTCGCTAAGAATCGCTAAAAATAATGAACATATATATAGTCTTATAGTTTTTAATTAAATTTCAAAAATAAATATTGACATCAAATAGCTTTGATGGAGTCATACAATTCATTATATAAGAGTGTATTTGCGGAACACAAACAAAATCAAAGCCAAAAACTGGGAAACAAATATATGGCGAGTAATGGATAAGTGAATAAAAGCATCGCTTGAGTCAAATGCAAACGAAAACATATGTAAAAACAAATCACTAGTAATTAATAGATAAATATTTAAAGTCTGCATATAATATACTCATGTATTGCGTGTATTGTGTGTATAAATTAACCGGTACAGTATACATAGTGTGCACTTACAGTAGTAGATGTGTGGCATCCATGGCCACTTTATATAGCTTTTTGGATGCATATTCCATGAAATTGAGCAAGGTTTGTCTGACGTCATCAGTGACCCCGATTTGGTTGCCGTGAGCCCAGGTCTCGACGTATACGACAGACACCCGGGTATTGATGAGTCGGAAGTAGACGTCGACGCAGTTGATGATTTGTATGGCATCGTTGACCACTTCAGTCCGCGATATATTGCGGGAATCAAACTAAACACATGACAAATGACACATACATTGAGACACAACTAGCGATCAACTTCTTGCACACAGTTATAGAGTGTTATAAAGTGGTGTCAATGTGTTATTGATATGTTATAAATGATGTCAATGTGTGGTATGTATGGGAGGCTGTCATACCATTTGCTGGTCAAGGATTAGCGCTAACTCCACGTACTTATCGACGGCGCGTACGTCACGTTTGCCCACTTTGGCGCCCGCTGTGGAAGTGGTGGTCGGGGGTCTCTTACGGTACTGTTTGAACCCCCACTCATGCATTCTGGTGTTACCGCACGTATGTTTGGTCTTAGTCTCCGAGAAGTAGCGATATATGACGTGCGGATGCCTTCTCTGCTGTCATCACAACATGTATTATGCGATGGGAAGGGATGGGAAGGAAGTGTTGAATGATTTTTGTGTTTCAAATGAGTTGACAGAGAGAAGGAAGAGAGAGTTGAATACAGAGGAGAGAAATCAAAGTATTAGTGATTTAACCTTATTTTGTGCCTTAGTTTTGAGCCATAATGAGCCATCACTTACGGATAGGTCGCCCCCATAGAAAGGGTGCATCACAAAGGTCTCGTTGCCCACGTGTATAACACCACTGGATTTACAGATAATAACCAGTATTTTGTGTGTAAAATATTGCCAACAATTATATGTCAGATATATAGCAGTGGATAGAAAAAGAAACGGAAAATAAAATATAATATATTAGACAAAAATAAAAGAAAATTATTTTTAGAGTTAGTTTTCATAACTTTATCGCTAATAATAATAACTCATTAAAGACGTTAATGTGAGAAACAAATGATTAAAATATGAAATAAAAATAAAAGAAATATTCTTTTCGGCAAACATTTATAACTCAGAAATTTAATGATAGAGTAGTGAAGAGAATAGAAAGAGAAATAAGAAAATGAAAGCAAAAAAGAGTGCAAAAGAAAAATCAATAAAATAATGCAATGATTTTAAGACATGAAGTCTTTATAAACTCAATTCATATGAAACAATATATTGAACGTCGAGAGAGAGAGAGAGAGAGAGAGAGAGAGAGTGAGTGAGTGAGTGAGAGAGAGAGTGAGAGAGAGAGAGAGCCGATACATAAATTTGCGAAATTGAGTTAATATTAATAATAATAACAGGAATAAGTTTGATAATAAACATATAATGGGATTGTATGTGGAAATGTATGTAAATGTATGCAAACCTGACTCCATTGCAGGTCCTGAATGCGCCGACAGCGCCGGGATAGTCTCGTATGGTTCCGTGATAGTAACAGTGCTCTATTTCCTATGAACACCAAACACACACATATAAGTTATACCAGGATTAATAAATAGTAATTTATTGCTATTATTATTTGATTAGATGTCAGATAAAAAGAGTTGACAGAAATGATGAGAAATATTAAGTGTTTAAAAAGACGCAAAACTCTGGCCTAACATCGAAAGCTTCGGCAACAGAATTATAGAGAAATTGAATAATGTTTTTGTGGCACAAGTGCTGTGGATGTGCTTATGAATGGCTGTGCAAAGCTGTGCCCGACGTTCACTGTAATACTATCCGTACTATCCCTGCATAATATAATAATAGCAGTTAAAAGTGATGTTTGGGAGCAGTTTTCTGGAGCAGTTTCTCAGTCATTTGCATGAATTAAACACTAAAGTAGCTAAGCTTTCGCTAAAACACCACTCAATCCAAACGCTATCATCTTATGAACAAAAATACTTTTTCATTGCTTACTATTCGCGGCTCATATCCATAGTCTGCTATATTCACTCTAATAAGTTATTCAATTATTTCATAAATTTGAATATAATTTTTAGCCAAAGTCTACGCAAACAGAGTTATCGATATTTGTGAATATATGTGATATAATGGACGCATCGGAACCAATATCTATCTATAGATCCATTCTTGAGGTCATAATTTGTGATTTCCTTTTGCAGTGCTTTGCTGTCGATTTTGTTTGTTTTCTCTCTGAATAAGAATATCATGTATTGAAAGTAACTGTATTTGAATTGCATTTATATTTGCTTTATATAAAGGCTGACAACACACTACTTATATAATACCCATATATAGAGTAGAATAGTGAACAATATTTGAAATGCATTTTTATGCACTAACTCTGAAAAACTGGGAAAACATTAAAACAAATTTTATCTCCAAATTCGATGCGGTTTGTGATGATAGGAATTTTGAGCTCTTTTTTGTCACACAAATAGCAGAGATATATAAAAGACAATATATTTTTAGAGACAAAAACAAAAAACCCAAATATAAAAAACTCAAATAAAGTATAAGTTTATGAAAGATTTAAAGGTGTTTTGTGTGAAAATTTGTTATCAAAATATTCGTTTAGTACTGCTTTTGAATAAAATGAAATTCTTGTAGATTTGAATGTCTTTTTACACAAAGTGTGTGCCGTTTAACAGTAATGTACGGCACAGAGAGTGGTGTGAAAAGTGTTTGGATGTGTATAGTCTATAGGATGTGGATGTCTATAGTAAAGAGACGTTAGAGACTGGCTGTGATTACCTGAGTTGATATTTGCTGCGCCCCTTCGGGCAGAAAATGCTTCTGAATTAGATTTGGCGCTAAAAGATGTCTAGAGATCGGAATAAATGCAACAAAACATGAATAATATGCGAGACATAGACACGAATTGGCGTCGATTTCGACAACAAATCAATTCTTTGATCGCATTTCACTGATGGCTAAATAAATTTCATTTCTATAAATAGTATCAAGGTAACTTACGTATTGAGCTCCAGTTCCAATTGGAACTTATGATTAAAGGCTTTGATGAGCAAAGATGTCTTGTGGAAGTGTTTGC